GTCAGTCTGTCAGTGTGCCAGTGTGTCAGTGTGTCGGTATGCCAGTGTGCCAGTGTGTCAGTGTGCCAGTCTCTCAGTCAGTGTGCCACTGTATCAGTTTGTCGGTGTGTCAGTCAGTGTGCCAGTGTGTCAGTGTGTCAGTGTGTCAATGTGCCAGTGCGTTAGTGTGTCAGTGTGTCAGTGTGCCAGTGTGTCAGTCAGTGTACCAGTCTCTCAGTCAGTGTACCAGTTAGTCTGTCAATGTGTCGGTGTGTCAGTGTGCTAGTGTGCCAATGTGTCAGTGCATCAATGTGCCAGTGCGTCAGTGTGTCAGTGTGTCAGTCAGTGTGCCAGTGTACCAGTCTCTCAGTCAGTGTACCAGTTAGTCAGTCTGTCAGTGTGCCAGTGTGCCAGTGTGCCAGTCTGTCAGTGTGCCAGTGTGTCAGTGTGCCAGTCGGTCTCAGTCTCTCCCTGCTCTATCTCCAGCTCTGAAGAAGTCGGACTCAGGGGAGCTCCCAGGAAGGAAGGTCCCCCCTCTGAAGCCGAAGCGCAGCCCTAACACCCAGCTCTCTGTGTCCTTCGAGGACCCCTCCATCCGGCCGCCCCCCCTGCCCCGTGGGCCCCCCCCAGCGGCGCCCCCCCCTCCACGACCCACCCCGGACTGCAGCCCCGCCGGAGGGGGAGGGCAGGAGGAGCAGGAAGAGGAAGAGGAACCCGTCTATATCGAGATGGTGGGGGATGTTTACAGGGAACCCCAAAATCCGCCGCCTGTCTCCCACCCTGGAGCCACCACCCCAGACTCGGACTCGGACCAGAGCGAGGCCATCTACGAGGAGATGAAGTACCCCCTCCCCGAGGAGGCTGAGCCCCGAAACCGGGCACTCCTGAATCCCGAGCAGCTCCCAGTCCCCTCCGCTAAAACCCCGACCCCTGTCCTTGCCTCCTCTTCCTCCCTCCCCGGCCCGCACTTTTCCTCCGCCGCCTCCTCCTCCTCTTCCTCCTCCAAGCCGAAAGCCACCGTCTCCATCTCTCACTCTGCCCCCCTCCCTTCCTCTTCCTCCGTCTCCGCCTCCCTGCCCCTGCCTCCCGGCTCCCGCGCCTCCACGCCTTTCCTCTTCTCCAAGCCCTCCGACAAGATCCCGGCGCCCTTCCCCAACCTGCTGCAGCACCGGCCCCCGCTGCTGGCCTTCCCCCAGCCCGCCGCCGCCTCCAGCGGGGTGGGCATCCACCACAAGTCCCTGGCGGCGGCCTCCTGCTCCTCCTCCTCCTCCTCCTCGGCCAAGCTGGCCACGGTCAGCACCCAGCCGCCCTCCTCGCTGGGGCAGATGGGCAGCTGCTCCTCCGGCGCCTCGTCCTCCAAGCTGCC